AACATGTACATCCTGAAGTCTACTCAACAGTCTTTTATCTACCAATACATAATCCAACAAACTACTGTCATTTCGCCCTACATCATATCTTGTATACTTATTTATCCTCTTTTTCTTAAAATATATATTACCTATAACTAAACCCCTTTCTATACAAAGTTCAATCAAAGGGCTCCCATTATCATTTACACCTGGCACCCCAAACTTACCTACCACACCCTCTCTAAAAGTTTCTCCTACTTTAGCATTCAGGTCCCCTACCACAATTACTCTCTCACTTGGTTCAAAGACTCCTATACATTCACTTAACATCTCCCAAAATCTCTCTCTCTCCTCTGCATTCCTCTCTTCTCCAGGTGCATACACCCTTATGACCCACTTCTCGCATCCAACCTTTACTTTAATCCACATAACTCTTGAATTTACACATTCATATTCTCTTTTCTCCTTCCATAACTGATCATTCAACATTACTGCTATCCCTTCCTTTGCTCTAACTCTCTCAGATACTCCAGATTTAATCCCATTTATTTCCCCCACCGAAACCCCCTACCCCCTTCAGCTTTGTTTCGCTTAGGGCCAGGACATCCAACTTCTTTTCATTCATAACATCAGCAATCATCTGTTTCTTGTCATCCGCACTACATCCACGCACATTTAAGCATCCCAGTTTTATAAAGTTTTTCTTCTTCTCTTTTTTAGTAAATGTCTACAGGAGAAGGGGTTACTAGCCCATTGCTCCCGGCATTTTAGTCGCCTCATACGACACGCATGGCTTACGGAGGAAAGATTCTTTTCCACTTCCCCATGGACAATAGAAGAAATAAAGAGGAACAAGAACTATTTAGAAAAAGGAGAAAAGCCTAGATGTATGTATATATATATATGCATGTGCGTGTCTGTGAAGTGTGACCAAAGTGTAAGTAGGAGTAGCAAGATATCCCTGTTATCTAGTGTGTTTATGTATATATATTATGGAACAATAGTAATAAACAATGTTTTGTATTGTTTGTTTGTGTAAACAAATTTTATACACAATCTAATAGTGATTTATTTTATTTATTTATTTAGAAATTTTAGCATACAAACAGAGGTACAAAAAATACAGGTAAGAGCAGCATGCCAAAGCTATAGCTATATGCATGTGCGTGTCTGTGAAGTGTGACCAAAGTGTAAGTAGGAGTAGCAAGATATCCCTGTTATCTAGTGTGTTTATGTATATATATTATGGAACAATAGTAATAAACAATGTTTTGTATTGTTTGTTTGTGTAAACAAATTTTATACACAATCTAATAGTGATTTATTTTATTTATTTATTTAGAAATTTTAGCATACAAACAGAGGTACAAAAAATACAGGTAAGAGCAGCATGCCAAAGCCACCTATATGCATAGCATTACGGGCTGGCTTAAAATTAACTTAAGATTAACTAAGCAATGATGAAATCAGTGATAAGACATTATTGTAAACAGATAACTATAAAATACAAATGAGTATTACAAAGACAGGTCCTATGGTTGCATGCATTGCTGTTCATTCAGTAGAATGGAGTATTCTGTTAGGTAGTGTATTTAAAAAAATAACAAAGTTAGGTTTAACATTTGTGTGATATAATTGTGAGTAACATTTAGGATATACAATTTATATGGTTCAGTTATTCAGTATTTATTTGGTTTTGAGTGAGTAAGTGAACTTTGAGAAGAGACTTGAATTTATAAACAGGTAGTGTTTCTTTTATATTTACAGGTAATGAATTCCAGATTTTAGGGCCTTTTATGTTCATTGAGTTTTTGCATAGCGTGAGATGGACACGAGGAACATCAAAGAGTGATCTGTGCCTTGTATTATGGTCATGTGTTCTGTTGAGGTTGGCAAGGAGATGTTTGAGGGGAGGGTTAATATCAGAGTTAAGTGTTCTATGTATGTAATAATGTTTGTTCAGTTACTGTGTTGTAAACAATGAGTGTATATTTGAACAATGCACCTTACTTTCGTCTCACAGGCCACATAAGTTACTTAGAAAAGAAAAATATTGGAAAATACAAGAAACCTTTGAATTGGAGTAAATAAAAGAATACTGGGTGGGCGGCATTCGCCGATGTTGCCATACGGCGCTCATTTTCTGCCAACTTTGCGCCTCTATATCTCAGTAAGTACTGATGGCAAAAAAATTATTTTAGGCTTAAAACACTCAGTAAAATAATCCTAATATTTTGGTAAGAAATTTTTTTTTTTTTTTTCGAATATTTTGCAACATAGAATGACACCTTACTGCTGATGCCAGGACTCAAAGCTGTGTATATAACCTTCCATTATTATGTTCAGGAGGAAGTGCTAAACTCATAGGGCTCATACAGAGCCTGGGGGAATGGAAAGCAATTAGGTTCAATCCAAGGAAGAGGATGTGCCCAGTTCCTTGGATCAAAAATCCCTTGACAGCATCAAGGAATCATCCTTGGCGGGCATAACCTTCCATACTAGCACTCAACAGCTCTTTGGAAACATTTAGAAATGATATTGAGTTTTGTTCAATGTCTACATTAAATTTTATGAAGACAGAACATTTGATTCAAGAAAACATGTATTTAAATCTTTATTCTTGGCCAACTTGCACCTAATTATATTGTATTGCTGGGGTACAACTGCCTTGATTTTGCCAAAAGGCCTAATCAAACTTAAGTGGAGAGACAGGTGTGTTAACCTGTATTTCAATAAAAAAAATAGGCTGTTGTAAAAAAGACAATTATAATAATTATATTGTAAAGACAGTATTGTATTTTAAAAGTAAAATAAGTTATACTTATGGGAGAAAAAGTATTAATGTATAAGTTTGGAAACTGTGCATGGTGATGCTCTATTGTTGTGGGTATAAGAGCAGAGAAGAGGCTGGCTCTCCCTTTCTGGAAAAGACCCGGGCCAGGACAGTACCATCAAACATCATCATCATCATGGCTCTCCGTCCATTATCATTGTGTTAACCAGGCTGAGAGGAGCTACCCACTCCTGGGCAAAATGTGAGTTGCCCAGGAGGTAAGACTTATAATGTACTAATTTTGATATTTTTTTTTTTTTTTTTTTTTTTTTTTTCAACAAGTCGGCCGTCTCCCACCGAGGCAGGGTGACCCAAAAAAGAAAGAAAATCCCCAAAAAGAAAATACTTTCATCATCATTCAACACTTTCACCACACTCGCACATTATCACTGTTTTTGCAGAGGTGCTCAGAATACAACAGTCTAGAAGCATACACATATGAAGATACACAACATATCCCTCCAAACTGCCAATATCCCAAAACCCCTCCTTTAAAGTGCAGGCATTGTACTTCCCATTTCCAGGACTCAAGTCCGACTATATGAAAATAACCGGTTTCCCTGAATCCCTTCACTAAATATTACCCTGCTCACACTCCAACAGATCGTCAGGTCCCAAGTACCATTTGTCTCCATTCACTCCTATCTAACACGCTCACGCACGCTTGCTGGAAGTCCAAGCCCCTTGCCCACAAAACCTCCTTTACCCCCTCTCTCCAACCCTTTCGAGGACGACCCCTACCCCGCCTTCCTTCCCCTATAGATTTATATGCTTTCCATGTCATTCTACTTTGATCCATTCTCTCTAAATGACCAAACCACCTCAACAACCCCTCTTCTGCCCTCTGACTAATACTTTTATTAACTCCACACCTTCTCCTAATTTCCACACTCCGAATTTTCTGTAAAATATTTACACCACACATTGCCCTTAAACAGGACATCTCCACTGCCTCCAACCGTCTCCTCGCTACTGCATTTACCACCCAAGCTTCACACCCATATAAGAGTGTTTGTACTACTATACTTTCATACATTCAAATTTTGATATTGTAACAATAATATCAGGGTGGCTACAGTGTATCAAAACATTAAACACTAGGCAGGGCCACTAGGGAGAATGAAGTAATAAATGTGTTCAGATGGGGCCATGTGACACTTGTGCCCGTGTGGTGGAATGGCTAAGCTCAGGCTACGTTATGTATTCCTTGTTGTGGATAGGAGGGCTGGGCCTGACTACTTAACACTTTTTTTTTTTCAACAAACCGGCTGCATCCCACCGAGGCAGGGTGGCCCAAAAAGAACAACAAAAGTTTCTCTCTTTAAATTTAGTAATTTATACGGGAGAAGGGGTTACTAGCCCCTTGCTCCTGGCATTTGAGTTGCCTCTTACAACATATGGCTTACAGAGGAAGAATTCTGTTCCAATTCCCCATGGAGATAAAAGGAAATAAACAAGAGTAAAAACTAGAAAGAAAATAGAAGAAAACCCAGAGGGGTGTGTATATATATGCTTGTACATGTATGTGTATGTGTATGTGTATTGTATATGTACATGTATGTTGTGTATCTTTATACGTATATGCTTCTAAACTGTTGTATTCTGAGCACCTCTGCAAAAACAGTGATAATGTGTGAGTGTGGTGAAAGTATTGAATGATGATGAAAGTATTTTCTTTTTGGGGATTTTCTTTCTTTTTTGGGTCACCCTGCCTCGGTGGGAGACGGCCGACTTGTTAAAAAAAAAAAAAATGTATGTGTAGTTTGACCTAAGTGTAAGTAGAAGCAGCAAGACGTACCTGAAATCTTCCATGTTTATGAGACAAAAAAGGACACCAGCAATCCTACCATCATGTAAAACAATTACAGGCTATCGTTTTACATTCACTTGGAAGGACGGTAGTACCTCCCTGGGCGGTTGCTATTTACCAACCTACTACCTAGACTTAACACATGTATATAATGTAAATACTTATCCCTTGAATATATTATTTTTTTTGTGGAACAGTGGTTTAAATAACCTACTCTGGAAGGAGGGATAAGTTTTCAGAAGCTGAGATGGGCTATTCATGAATGTAAGTATTTCCCCTAGACTTTATAAGGCATTAATGAGCTACCGTACACCAGGAAATATAGTGAGGACCATAACACTGAAGTAAAAAGGGAAGTAATGAGTACTCACTTGCCAGGATTTGGTTGTGTTCATGGGCTTGTAACATGCATCATTGTAAGCAAGATACTCGTTGAAGGGAGGATGGCAGGTAGGGGGTGGATGATGATCAAATACATTTGGATCTGTTGGAAAGTTCATCCCTTTAATCCATATCATTATAGACTCAAGGTAAGTAGTGATAAATGACTTTCAATAAATAAACAGAAGAATGGAGGGAGACTTGAACCAAGGGCCAGGACCATGGTTCAAGTTCCTGTCCATTCTTATGTTAATCCATATCATTATGGTTACTCAAGCACTCATGAATGTCTAGTTTACTGAGTACTATTAATGTATATACAGTATTACTGTATTTCAGTGGGATATGGCTGGTGTGTTAAAAGAAGATTACTGTATTTAAAAAAAAATGTATTTACAATATTCTGAATGTACATTAGAAGTGAAAAACAAAATAAATTTAGATATAGGGAAAATCATTTGCAAAATCTAGAGAGAGGTTCAAGAAAAGTTCCTGAGATAGGATTGTCTGAAGATTATTCATTAACAAGAATGCATAACTTGGTGGAAGATACCAATGTGGTTAAAAAAACAAAATGCATGATATTATGTTGGTCAAGGAAAGGGCTAATCTGGAGAACTGAGAGGATTTGATGAAGAATTATGAAGGAATACTCTCATGCCTCATGAAACAAAGATGCACATGCAATACTTAGGACATATTTATAAAATATTTCATCCACCAGGAACAGCTGAAAATATTATTAATGGGTGAAACGTTTCCCAAATAAAATGTTTTAAGTGTTGCATGCATGTCTTTATTTAACAATATCTTAGTATTGATATACTTAGTACAGCACAGATCTTCCTTGTTTATGCTATACATAAATGTATTCCAGGCTATTTGCAATTATACAAACTCAATCAAGCACTAAACCCTTATGTCTGCATAATAAAAATCTTCAATGGCTTTCTGAGCCATACAGATGGCATACAGCCTCTGTACAGCTTACATTTACTGAACTAGATAGAACTAGGATAAGACATTATAGTGAATTATCATGAAATGAAGGAAGTCTGTAACTGTGTGACTCTCATATAATATGTGCCAGGTCACCAAATGGAAAAAACCCGGGCTGGGACAACACCGGTGAACCACATCACTGCATCTTGTATGATGTTTAAAAGACAGCTTTTGTAAAGGAGGACTTTATTTACATGTTAGAAAGGAAGCAAGCATATGGAGTGTGGCCATGCTAGATGAGGAGTTACACCATCACTTGCATGTAACACTGATACAGTATCTCTACCCTTCAAAGAGAGTGCCCCTTCCACCCTTTTTAGCACACTGGTTATCTTCCACTGAAGCAGGTTTACCCTTCCAAAAAAAAAAAAAGTATATTCACCATCATTCTCTCAATCACTGTCTTGCCAAAAGTATGTTGATGTCACAGTTCAGATGACCCTCTGAAATGCAACATCTCACCACTCTTGTACAGTGTTGGCACTAATTCCCATCTCCAGGACTCAAGCCTGACTAACCAGTTTTCCTGAGTCCTTTCACTCCAAAAGCACGTCAAGTCATCAACAACAATTCTTACAACTCACTCCAATCTAACGCAATCACACAATCAGCTCTAATTAGAGCTAAACCAGAGAAGAAAAAGATTAATGAAACCACCATTCATTAAAAGATTAAAAGAACAAGAGAAATAAGATTTAGTGGAAGGAATGAGGAGACCTACATTAACACTGAGAACAAGAATGAGGGATGATATGGCTAACACAAGTGGTGGTTTAAAGTGGTGACACATATAGTAGAATACAGAAATGCAGTGGGAGAAGTTTCTTCTTTTTCTTCTTCTTTCGACAAACTGGCCGTATCCCACTGAAGCAGGGTGGCCCAAAATGAAAAACAAAAGTTTCCTTTTTTAACTTTAGTAATGTATACAGGAGAAGGGGTTACTAGCTCCTTGCTCCCGGCATTTTAGTTGCTTCTTACGACATGCATGGCTGACGGAGGAAGAATTCTGTTCCACTTCCCCATGGAGTAGGAGTTTAAACGAGATAAATGAACAGTAACACATGTACAGATAAGAAAGACAGTGGGAGGAGTATATATGAGAATGAACAGGAAGGTCAGCAGAATGGTATTCCTTTAACCTATGGCTGACTGGGAACAACCAAACAACTATCTCAAGTGTCACCAGTATGAGAGTTGGCAATGAGAAACCATTATCTTTATTGAATTTATAAAACAGAAACTGTTGTGCTTGTAGAAAGCATGAACGATGCTGGAACTGTAGAAACATTTATGTAAGATAGGAGTGCTTGAAATGCAACAAAAAACCTAAAAGAAGTGCTTGTGCAATACAAATGTGAAAGACATACCTTGATTCATCATGCAGATGTAACTGTACTCTCCAAAGCAAAAGACATCATTCCACTGACCAGTCGCTGGCGAGGCTTGCACACACAAGTTCTGCCCAAGTATCCATGTAAGACAAACCAAAACCAAATCTTCATACTTTGCTATGTTCACTTTACATAAAAAATAAAATTATGACAACTTCAAAATCTAATAAAAGGAAAAATTTCATAAATACTTAACATTATTATCAAAGGGCAAATGTGAAATAATCATTTTAAGACAACAAAAGTTTACCATATACAGGGTACAGCATAAATCACTTTACCAAGAAAAATACAATCACTTTGTGAGGAACAATAAATGTTAAATCAGTGTAGCCCTAAATAAAAATAATTAATCTTGATCAGGGGACTGATGCCACATCCCTAATATTAGAATAGGTTTAGTAGTGCATGTGTTGTTAGCAATAACAAGAAAGCCATCCAGGACCCTTAACAAAAGCTTGTTTATGCCTATAAGACAAACCATACATATAACAGGGAGTGCTTCACTAGCCTATAGTTCAGTAGCTGCACCTTCAGCTCACAGCTGAAGGGCTTGGGTTTAATTTCCTGGGTAAAGATGGATAGTAGGTAGTAGCAGCTATTCAAGAGATTGTTGTAAGTACAAGAAGTGGTAGCTTGATAAAAAAAGATGGATAACTTACCCAGTCTGGTCCACCACTGGGCTCTCCTGGAGACCAGTTAGTGTAGGAGAGAGAGGACTGGTCAAGCCACAAGAACTCTCCCATATATTGCATCCCCAACCACACTTCTTCTTGAATGCTACCTAGCAGAGCTGTCAGGTAGGCTGTGGGAGAGACAGTTTACATTTCTTGAGAAACAAAATGAAAGACGTGGTGGTGGCAGTTTGGTAAAGAAAGCTGTTTTATATTATATCAAATTTAGCAAGGTTATGTTAAGAATTTTTTATAAGAGAGCCACAGAATTTGGTAAGCACAAGCCTATCTGATGTTATCTTGACACCAAATGACTTCGAACAGGCGATAAATGACATGCCCATGCACTCTGCCCCAGGGTCAGACTCGTGGAACTCCATGTTCATCAAGAATTGCAAGAAGCCCCTATCACGTACTTTTAACATCCTATGGAGAGGGAGCATGGACACTGGGGTCGTCCCACAGTTACTAAAAACAACAGACATAGCCTCACTCCACAAAGGGGGCAGTAAAGCAATAGCAAAGAACTACAGACTGAGAGCATTAGTATCCCATATCATAAAAATCTTTGAAAGGGTCCTAAGAAGCAAGATTGCCACCCACCTAGATACCCATCAATTAAACAACCCAGAGCAACATGGGTTTAGAGCAGGTCACTCCTGTCTGTCCCAACTACTGGACCACTACGACAAGGTCCTAGATGCAATAGAAGACAAAAAGAATGCAGATGTAATATACACAGACTTTGCAAAAGCCTTCGACAAGTGTGACCATGGCGTAATAGCGCACAAAATGTGTGATAAAGGAATAACAGGAAAAGTTGGTAGGTGGATCTATAACTTCCTCACAAGTAGAACACAAAGAGTAGTAGTAAACAGAGTCAAGTCTGAGGCGGCTACAGTGAAAAGCTCTGTTCCGCAAGGCACAGTACTCGCTCCCATCTTGTTCTTCATCCTCATATCTGACATAGACAAGGAAGTCAGCCATAGCACCGTGTCTTCCTTTGCAGATGACACCCGAATCTGCATGACAGTGTCTTCCATTGCAGACACTGCAAGGCTCCAGGCGGACATCAACCAAATCTTTCAATGGGCTGCAGAAAACAATATGAAGTTCAACGATGAGAAATTTCAATTACAGTGGTCCCTCGTTGTTCGTAATTAATCCGTTCCTGGAGCCGTTACTATAAACGAAATTTACGATTTACGAATCAATTTTCCCCATAAGAAATAATGTAAATACAATTAATCCGTTCCTGACACCGAGAAGTATTAAAACAAAAAATTTTTTAACATGAAATATACATGTAGTACATAAACAATACAATGGGAAATGATGAATGAAACATTAACAGCATAACACTTACCTTTATTGGAGATTCTTCTTAGTGTATGGGAGACTGGAGGAGGAGAGAGAGTGGATTGTTTATAGTTTGGAAGGGGAATCCCCTTCCAGCAACACCTCAGGTACCATTTGCTTTTCTGGGGTTGCTTCTCTTCTCTGTTTCTTAATGCCACTAGGACCACCTTGAGAGTCACTCTAGTCCTGTCTTGCAAAGTAACTGTAGGGAGAGCTCTGTTTCTGGCGTCTCTTTAACACTTCCCTAAAATCGCCCAAGACTTTGTCACTGTACATGTTGCTAACCTGGCTTGCAACAACCTTGTTAGGGTGATGTTTCTCCATAAAGCTTTCCATCTTACCCCACATAGTAAAAATCTCTTTAATTTCTGAAGAAGGCACCTTCTTCCATCTCTCTTCCTCCTCCTCTGCAGCAAGATTCTGAGCTGCGATGTGTTGCTCTTCCTGCTGAAGCTCTTGCAGCTCCTCAGTGGTGAGCTCTTCATTGTGGTCTTCCACCAATTCTTCCACATCCTCCAAACTCTCATCCAACCCCATGGAACTCCCCAGTGCCACAATTGATTTTACAACAGACATAGGCTCATTAGGGTCAGTCCCAAATCCTTCAAAATCCCTCTTGTCGACACAATCTGGCCACAATTTTCTCCAGGCTGAGTTCAAAGTCCTGGTAGTCACTC